CCGAAATTTTGACATGCAAGGCCAACAGTTGGCGTATAAACGATTGGCATCAACTCTTTGACATGCTCACAAACAACACGATAGAATAGCTTTTCATTACGATCCTACAAATATATTTGTAATATTTTAAAAAAAAAAAGTTATTGATCGAAATTTAATTTCATTACAATAATTATTAACATACAAGCTTGATACTTCCAATTTTAATTGTTAATTGAATTAGCTTTTTCTTTGTTTTGTTCTTTTTCAATTTTCGTTCACGAAAAATAAATTAAAAAAAAAAAAAATTAAATTAAATGAAAGAAAGGAGAAGAGAAGGAAAAAGAGAGAGAGAAAGAGAAAGGTAAATGATATTCTTTGATAAATATAATTGGTGAAATTCAATAAATGTAATAATATTTATAATAGTAGAAATATTTTATATGAAATATTAAAGTATTAAATTTATATTCATAAGTATATATATACATACAACATATAAATATATATATATATCTGATGGATCAAAAAATCTTTTCAAACTTTCCATTTTGGATAATTTTTGCTTTTGCGACTTATAGTTATATTTAAAAATCGAAAATTCGAATAATTTGAAATACTTGTAAGGCGTCCAATTGTACATAACGAGCTAAATCATTTGGTTGCTCTCGAAGTTTTGAAATAATTCGATAAGCTTGCTGTTCTTCAGTCATAAATGCTGGCGGTAATAAACCATGGATACCAAGATATTGTCGCTCATATAAATTAAATGACATACCCTAAAATTTTATGGAGATATGATAAATTTGAATAATTTCACATTTTCATAAGCATTTTCAACAAAACAAAAACAAAATAAAACATTCAAAAAATCAAAAATAATAGTTTAATGTTAGGAAATCTTACCGTATCTTGTTGTACATAAGTAAGGTATAATAAATGTGCAAATTTGATTATTAAAATTATTCCATTTCAATCTATCCATTTTAGAAAATTCATAATTCAAATTTCTGCTTTAAAATTGTTAATTTATGAAAGAGAACTTGCTGGATATATTTTATTTATGAGTAATTATTGGAATTAAATTAATAAAACTAAATACTCCTTTTATATTAATAAATGGTATTAAAATTTCACTTCAACTAACACATCTTACCTTACTGTAACGTGCTGATTTGATTAAATCAATACCTCGAACTGGTGGTACAACTCGTTCCGCTCGATATAATTTATACAACTCCAAATCTTTATCAGTCATTGATGCAATATCTTCTTCATTACGTACTGATGTTGTTGAAAATGTTTGAGTAATGCTAGAAAAAAAAAAAAAGCAAATAAAATCCATTTTTTTTAAAAATAATACTAATATTTTCTTCTTTAAAAGAATAAAGAAAATAAAAATAAAAAATTGATAATAAAATATAATAATGCGAGTGATAAATGATTAAAATGGAAATGATAAAGATAAGATAAATTGAACAATCGTAGAATATTAATTGAATATATCATATTCAAATGAATATATAGACACAGATATCGTCTGAATATATCATGTGGAAATCAATATATTGTATGAATGAATTATTGGATAGATATATTATATAGAATTTTTATGAATATATCATAATTAACGACAAATTTTACAAATCTTAAACATACATATTAAATTCACAAAGCGAAAAGAAAGTGAATTAATGATGTAAAGGAGAAAAAAAAGTAATTAAATAATTTGAAAATCATTTAATAACTTAATAACTCTTTTACTGTGTTGTGATAATTTTTGCTAGAAATCAATGAATACGAAAAAAAAAAACAACAAAAAAAAACTTTAAAAGCAAAAACATATCACATTTTTGTGATATGTATTTTCAACTTTAAAACTTAAAAAGGCAAAAAAAAACTTTTAAAAACTTCACAAAGATCTAAAAATTGTTTTTAAAAAATTGCTGTTTAAAAATTTGGGAAAGAAATTCTGAAATTAAAAATTTAATTAAAAAAAAAAATTATTTACGATGACAAGCATGATACAAATATATGACTGATAAATGTTATCAATAAGCATACAAAAAGAAAAGAAAACAAAAAATGAAAAGTGTAAAAAAAAATTATCGCG